CCTGATACTTTTTCAAAAATTTCGAATTTTTCACTTTCAGTGAAAATTTCAGTGAATAGCTCCTCGATTGTCATGTTCCCCTGATACTTTTTCAAAAATTTTGAATTTTTCAATTTCTATACTTATACTTTTTTACCCGATACTTTACTACTCGATCTTTTCACCATTTGCCGGCATACCAGGGACACACATTACCAGCTGTTGGTATTTCAGGGACTTGCATTACCGACGGTCGGTATTTCATTCAGGCGCGAAAATTCAAAATTTTTAAATTTGAAATTTAACATTTTTCGAAATTTTTGAAAAAGTATCAGGGGAACATGAACGTTGAGGAGCTATTCAGTTTTTAAACGATATTCCTATTGATTAGACGTTTATTAAAAAAAAAAATTGGAATTATTTTGATTAAAAAAAAAATGAATGGTGCTAGGATCGAACCCTAGCCGTTTGCGTGCCAGCCAAGCACGCTGCCGATTAGACAACACGCTCATTATAAAAACAAAATTTAATTAGTCGTATATCTTCAATATATTGAATAAATTTTTTCATTCGATATTCCACAAGATGTGGCTTCCCCCTTCCGCTCGTTCTGCAGTCGAGTTAGTTTTTAAAATTTCGATTGGAACAGAGGGCACTACTGGTTCGAGCTCTCGAACAATCGAAAGGTCGACCCAATCGACCCATCGAACACAGTCGAACTCCGGTGTTTCGTGTACGTACGTGACAGAACGCGTTCCTCAAAAAAAAAAACCAAAAACTTCAGTGAACTCCATTAAAAAACCGTGGAAATCGCTGGGAAAGCCCCAGGAAGCCGAGAACACGCTCCCGAATTGAAAAGCCCTGGGTACCTCTCCGAGGATGCAAAATAATCTCCTGGAGACATGATATCTTGATCACTCTGGACCCCAGAGGATTGTCAACACAACCTGCAAATCTGATGTCAAAAAAGGTGAACAACTAGCGAAAAATCCTTGAAAAAATGGCGCCAGTGCCCTTGGAGGGTCATCAGACCCCAGTAGCCAACAGCATGCCCCAGGAGGGCAACCGTGGTGGTTCGATATCCCTGGGTATGTTAATCGATTTTATAATCCAACGTACATACCACGAGCTGACAGTCCTGGCGGAGCTCCTCCCCAGGAAAACCGACATGGAGCGAAAGATCGAGATCTGGAATTATTCAGCCCGCACTCGTCAACTATTCGTTCGTCTCTTGGCGCTCGTTAAATGGGCAAATAGCGCCTCAAAAGTCGACAAATCCGCCCACATAATGAACTTCTTGGACAAGCAGTCACTCCTGTTTGTAGACACAGCTGATATGTTAGCACGAATGGCCAGAGAGACACTGGTCCACGCACGTCTCCCCAATTTCCACATCCCAGCAGCTGTCGAGGTCCTGACAACAGGCACCTACGGACGCCTACCTGCTTGCATCAGGGAGAGAATCGTTCCACCAGATCCAATAACACCTGTGGAGAAGCGAACGACACTCCAGAGGCTGAATCAAGTGATCCAACATCGGCTTGTCACTGGAAATCTTCTTCCCCAGATGAGAAACCTGAAGATCGAGGCTGGTAGGGTGACATTCCTGGTCGAGCAGGAGTTCTCAGTGTCACTGACTGTCATGGGAGACGGCCCCAACGTTCCCTGGAGGCTTCTGGATCTCGAGATTCTGGTGTCAGATAGAGAGACTGGTGATGGCAAAGCCCTGGTCCATCCCCTGCAGACGAGATACGTGCACCAGGTGGTGCAGGCGAGATTAGCTGAGAGTTCAAATTCCCTGTCAGAGGTTTACTACATTCTTCATTATTTCTGTCAGTCCCTGCAGCTTGAGGTGCTATATTCGCAGACCCTGAGGCTCATCAGGGATCGATTGGATGATCATATTCATGTGGATGAGTATGTCCCTGGTAAGGGGCTATCGATATCCTACTGGAGGGAGCTTACCACCAAGGATCCAAGGTCTGAGCTCGGTTACAAGTTATCTGTTCAGGTTGATCAGAGTGATCCTGCGAGACCACTTGCTGTCGTTCATGTGCCATCGCTTGGATCCAAGGAAGAGGAAATTGCTGACAGGGCTATCAGGTCTGAGCAACTCTCCATGGAGTGTCTTCTTGTTCACACCATCTACATCAGAACCAGGAACAGACTCAATGAGCTCAAGCAGGAGATCCAGGGTATGCTCAAGGATGTAGAGTGCACGTTGAATGGATCACCAGCTATTCTCGCTGTTCCCATACTTCAGCCTTGTCTCAGGGCTGAACTACTTCTCGTCACTGTTGATACCCATACTGGAATGCTTCAGTGTCATGTGCCTCAGTATGAAGCACCACTTGTACCTGAGCTCACACAAGCTCTTAATAATGATCACTCGAGGCTACCGTCCCTCATCTCCGAACTCAGATTCTGGATCACCCAGAGGAGGTGCGAGAAAACACTCCAGCATCTTCCGGCTACACCTCATGAGAAATTACCCATTCTTCATAATCCTGAGTTCCCCATGGCCAACATCAGCAGGCATCGAATGATGGTCAGGCTTCATCGGCATCCCACCGTTTTACTGGTCAGTTGAAAATTTTTCAGGCGAAATTCAAGTCAATTATATATTTTTTTATTAACTCCATTGATATTCCAGAATTGTCCAAAATTATCCAATTCCTTTGGTGCTCTGGATGTCTAAAATTTTGCGTTTTGTTTTTCCAGATTGTTGCGTTCAAGGAGAAAGAATCCTCACCTTGTGAAATTGAATGTTCATTCTACATGGCAAGTGTCAAACCAAGTTCAGCAGAGAGCAATGCCCAGGACGAGAATATAGAGTCAGAGATTCCCAAGATGTACCTGAAACTCCAGAGTCTGATAGAGTTTGACACATTCGTTATCACTCATGGTCCATTTACAAGTGTTGACAGTGGTACGTTAATTTATTAAAACAATTCCAACGTCATGGCTGTGTAAATTAAATTTATTTTCATAATTTAAAGAAAATCATCAAGAAAAACAGTAATTCTTCTGGCGAAGAGAGAGAGAGCAGTGGATCATTGATGATAAATATTAGACAATGAATGACTGACAAATGATTTGATTTTTAATTTAAGGACCGGTTGGATTATCTGGAAAAGATAATTTATTTCAAAATTGGGATTCCTAATTACTCTGGTAATTAATCGTTTTTTTTAAATAATTGTTAGCTAGCGTTCTAGCGGTTGTCAACGATTAGAACGCTAGCTAACAATTATCGGAAAAAACAATTAATTGGCGGAGTAATTAGGAATCCCAATTTTGTAGTAAATTATCTTTCCGAGATACTCCATCCAGCCCTTAATTATGCCTCTTTAATTGTTAAATAAATAATCCAGAAGGTGTGGGACGTGAATGTTTCGTCGATTAGCTTTATAATCCAGAGGAATAATCCAACAATCTAACATCTGGCTATTTCCACCGATTTCGTTGGATCTTATGAATAAACGAAATTGGCATTAACAGATCAATTTTTTAGGAATTAATGAACAAGATGGGGGGTGCATTACAGACGTTACCGATAAGGGGAACAAGCGGCGTAGCACTGGTGCCAATGGACGTCAGGACACCTCGGGGACGCCCCAGAGTAGAAGACCAAAGCATCCGGCTTATTTTATACCAGAGCTGGCCCACGTTGTTGCACTCTGCGACGAGAGAATTCCATTCATCACTCTAGCCCTAGAGGTGAGACTCAAACAAGTGGATAAATATTTTTTACTTTTTATAAATATCAGGTTTCAGGGACTCATTCACATTTTTATTCAATTTTTAACATCAGAAATTCAGTTTTTCAATATTTTATTAATGCACTTTTGATTAATAAATTGATTTCACATTCATTTTCCTGAATTATAATTAAATCTTTACAAGCAATAATAATCATGGATAATAAATAAAATATATTTAAATCGATTTATTAATTTAAAGATGATAATAATTATTTTAAATATATGTAAAGTCGATTGAATTAATCTCTAAACTCGATAAAATGTAATTTCAGTTAACAAAACGAGACATCGCTCACCAAGGGCTTCAGGTGGAAGCCAATGCGACAGCCCTGGTGCTAAAACCAGTGCTCCTACCAGCCCCCAGCCCCTCGATAAGTGGAAGCCCAGGTTGGCAGGCCCTTCTGAAACGCCTGCTGAGCGTGTCAATCAGAGTACAGGGAAAGGGAATGACTAAAACGTGGATGGCAGAGTTTGTATTTTACTCGAGTCCCCTGACAAGTAGTCATCCCAAGGAACAGGGTCTCCGTCGTCCTGTCTACTTCCAGTACGACATGGGAACAGCTGATACTGTCTCGAAAACAGTCGACGCTCTCCTCAACAACTGGGCCCAAATTGTCCACCTGTACTCAATCGTCCAGGACCTCTCGGAGTACTTCAAGATGGAGAAGTACAATCTCAGGAATATGGTCAGCATAAAATCCTTCAGTTACAACAAACTCATCCTGTCTTACGGTCCCAATAGAGGAGCTGTGGTAATTGTCCACTGGAGTACAACTGACAAGGCATTCAAGCTCGTCTTCGGGAAGAGTCCCACCAACACAGGGATCAATGCCCACTCCCTGATGAAGGAGCAGCTCGAGGCACATCTGAATCGTCACAGAAATCTCGCCCAGATTATCTTCTACCTCAACGAAACCCTCCAGCCCCTCATCTCCATCAGCAAACTCCCCATAATCCCTCAACTAGGAATTCTCAATACTCGTCCCCAGGTTCCCGTCCAGACATTCACGATTATGCCCCAATCAGTGACATCAGTTCGTCTTGCTTACCAGGGAATGTACTGCCTGGAGCTGAGGGTGAGAGGTGGTGGACTCGTGTCACTCAGGGATGGTGCTTACTCCAGATTTGATCGCAGCAATGTTGTCGACGAGTTCACACCCACTCAGGGTCTCAAGACATTTTTATCGAAGTACGTGGACGAGAGTGCAGTGTTCAGGAGGCGATCACAGTCCGAGGATGATAATCCACCGTCGCCGGTGACGATGGACTCGGAAGGGCCTGGGGTAGGATTTATGAGTCATCATCGGGGAGGTCCTCAGTCACCAGCACAGCAGAGGGATGGATTGAGGTTCCATCCACCCTTGACACCCCCATCTGGCTCGAATCCTCATACGCCAGCTAGTCCACACACTGCCAATATCTCGCAGGCAAGTCAGCATCAGAGTTTTGGCAGTAGTCCTGCCACATCTTTTAATTTAGCATCACCTCCATCACTCCCACCAAATACACCGAATATGCTACCTCATCCGTCACCAGGGTCTGGTCTTGTTGCCAATAGTCCTCTCAATCAAATGCACGTACCCAGTCCTGCTGGACTGATGCCCACGTCGTCACCAGGTCCCTGCAGCAATGTCCAGGTTGGGCATTCACCAGCGAGTTCATTCATGCAAGGGCACATCGATGGTAGTCCTTTTCCCAGCTCTCAGAGCATGGCATCACCAGCTGCATCAAACTGGCCGGGTTCTCCAAGCGTTCCAAGACCATCACCAGCTAGACCTGGACAAAATCCAGCTCATGCAGCTCTTCACAGTCCCCAGCCCTCAGACCACAAAATAGGGAGTCACATCTCCAGGGTTTTGCCACAGAGATCGTGGGCTGGGGCTGTGCCAACTCTCTTGACGTATGAGGCTCTGGATATCCTCTGCTCACCCTCGGCACATCCCTCGGGACTTCCTGGGCCTGATCTATCACCTCTGGAGAGATTCCTCGGGTGTGTCTACATGAGGAGACAGCTCCAGAGGTTCATTCAGACTGATGACTGTCTCACGAGCATTAATAGCACTGAACCTGGGGTTGTGCATTTCAAAGTTGAGACTCTTCAGTGCAGAGTTGTTCTCAATCCTCAGCATCTTCAGTCACTTCACATCAAGGTGCAGCCACTGCCTGAGCACACGGACAAGTGGACACTCGAGGAGCTGCAGATTATTGAGAAATTCTTTGACACCAGGGCTGCTGCTCCACCGTATAAACCCAATACTTTGTCCGGATTTGGCAGAATGCTCAATGTACCTTTCAATGTTTTGAAGGATTTCATTCAGATTATGAAGCTCGAGCTCGTACCTGGACTCGTACAGCAGCAGCAGCTCAAGTGGTCGATACAGTGGTGTCTCAAGGTACCACCTTCAGCCACTGCTATTGTGCCAACTGGTATGGCTGGTGTCCTCGTCTGCAAGAACAAAATCCTATTCTTTGTGAGTTGACATCTAATTTCTAGCATTTTATCAGAGTTTATCAGAGTTTTTTTTATTAATTCAGGTGAAAAAATGTTGAGAATTTAAATATTTATTTAAATTATTTCTAGATCCAATTAACAAGAGTCGGAGTGCCTTACCAGGGAGAGCCCCTGTCCCTGGCCCTTCCTCTGGTGTACGATGTGCAGACAAACCTGACGCAATTAGCAGAGAGACGTGATTCAGCGCCATCACCATCAACAGCAGCAGCCTCGATGCAGCTGAAACGTTTCGTTGAATATCCAGGAGTTAATTACCCGGAGTGTTCGCTGTTCCCAGCAGTGAGGGATCTCATGGCGAACTTGACGCTCCCCTCAGAGCCTCCAGTGATGCCCCAGGTGGTTGGATCCCCAGCAGCTGGACAAGTCACCCCAACCCAGCAGATCCAGAGTCCAGCCATGCAGATGCATTCCCCCATGGCTGGCCAGGGCCCACCCCAGGGGCCCTACGGTATGCAGGGAATGCCCTCCATAGGAATGATGGGAGGACCTCCCCAATAGGGATACCTGAATGTCAATCCCCTCTCCTATTACTAATTAATTCATTAATTCCGTAACAAAGTGGTAAAATAAGTTGACATTTTCTCGAGAGTTTTCTCTCAATATCTCCAGATTAAAAGAAAATATCGATATTTTCGTAATTACCTTTTTTGTACAACTTAGATTTCTGTACAAAAAATGTGGAGTGAAAAATATTCATATCTCTCTTCAGTTCTGAGATATTCGCGAAATACTCATCTCGAAAAGCATGCACTTATTCTGATTTATCATTTGTCGAGGGAATTTAATTGTAATATAATGGACATAATGAGCAATTTGGGTAGTTGATGGACAGTAGTTTCTTCCAGTCGTGGGTCATTCTTCTAGGTCGTGTAAGTGAATATTTATGTCGCAGATCGAATTAATCTGTTGAAATCAATAAATTTTTATATTAATCCAAAATGCATTATTTCTCAATAATTTCATCAATTACACCGGAACATTAATCACTATTTATTCTCTTTCCAGTCAAATATTTTAATTATTCCAATTACGTCAATACAATTTCATGGAAATTATCAATTCAACTTTTTTAATCAGTTATCGTATTTTATTGTTTTCAAATTGTTAATATTTTTTTATTTGCCCGTGTGCAATGTCAATTATCGATTACATGTTTAAATAATAATTAAAATTCAACACAATTGTCAACAAAATAAGAAAAATTATTGATATACGCAAGTTAATAATTTATTAATGCAATCACAATTTAATGATGATCACATAACAATAATGAATTATGAATTAATTAATTAATCATTGAAATAATAATTATAATGTTGTTAAAAATAGTGTCGAAATTTCCATGTGTCATTTAGACCTGTAACCCCTGTAATTGAATTATCATCGCATAATTCCTTTTTGAATGTTCCCTCACTTTTCATCCAATGACAACTTACGTGTGCTATGGGTGGCCAATCAGAGGTTTTTATTTAGTTGATAAAAAAGTCGTTGGGCGCTGGTACCACAGATGTCTTCTGTCTGCATCTCTCGTGTTATCCAGTATTGTCGACTGTTGTCGACTCGATACTTCGGTGTTTTCACTTCAATTTTCGACAATTACACATCCTAATTACGCGATAATCCCGAGCAAACGATTACCGGGAAGGTATCCTCGGAAAAACTAAAACCAGTGTCTCACCGATAAAAATCATCGACTCCTGGAGCAATCGCGTTCTCTCGGAAAATTTTGTGTTTCAGTGATCAGTTATGTGAAAGACAACAATGGAAAAACAAACGTCTGATAACCCCTGGTAAGTCTTCTTCACGAGAACCTGTAAATTCTCAGGAATTTCACCTGGAATTCCTGAATTCTCTTCTCACACTTGGGCATCGATTTTGTTGTTGCATCTCCCACCTCTCCACGATAATTCGTCTGCTTTTATTCCCCAGATAAACGTGAAAACAACTTCCACGTTTTCCCTTTCTTCCTCGGCCTTTCATCCCGGGTAAAAGGAAATCTAGGAAAAAAAAATTCCTCGGAGACGACGAGACGAGAGATGCTGTTGGCACTCGGCCACCGACGTTTTCACTCGGGAAATTGTTGGAGGAAATTTGATTGATAAAACGGGTCAGTCCTGACGAATAAATCCCCCATCGACTCCATAAACAATCACTATAAATAAACAATCCCGAATGATCCATTAAAAAAGCCAAAACGAACCGCTAATGAAAAAAATAAATCGTAAATAATTTTTATTTTAAATAAAATCTCAATAAATCTCAATAAATATAAATAAACAAATAATCCGGAGGGAATAAAATATTCCGGTTTTCGAAATTCTTAATTAATTAACAATTTGAGATATTGCTCGGAATTTTTTAATTTTTCATTTTGCAATTCAATTTTTCGATGAGAGGAGATATTTGAAGTTTTTATTTATTTATTCGTATTCTGTTTTTTAGAGTGAACGAGGTAACATGCAGTAGTTAATAATAATAATGGGAGATAGAAGATAAAAAATTAGGACATTGTCAATGAGAATGGATCGATTGATGGGTGGGAGGCCCCTCCCACGAGATTTATTACCAAAAGGTGAATAGGGAAATACGAGTTGAATTTATTGGGGTTGCGATTGGAGATGGGGTTGATGATTTGATAATTTGATGATGCTGGTGGTTTAGCAAAGTGGGTAGTGGCATGGGGACTTTGCTGTTGTCCATTGCCAAATATGGCTGCCCCCTACGTTTTATTCTTAGACGCAACAGCGAGACTCAACGCGACGTACCACGGACTTTCCCGAGAGACTATTTTATGGATTAAATATCGTAAATATGGAATTGTTTTGATCATTGATTCATGTCTCTCAGGAAGACACGCTCGTCGCGTGTTCGATACTCGTTCTGCTATTTTCGAATCTTTATTCCACCATTTGACAACAGATCTTTAAAAAATCGCCAATTTTTTCGCTCCATTCGTTACTATTTTATAACTTTTGGGTTTTATTAATTTATTCATATTTAGATTTATTAATAATGAGGATTTATCAGTAATTAGTCCATTTATTTATTTATAGCAGTGGAATTGCGAGATCTACAAAGAAATTGAATAAATTATTATTTATTTTCATCAATTGTCATTACAAAAATGGTTACAACAATGAAGATTTATCATTCATTTATTTATTTATTTATTATTTGCAAAAATCAGGGATTAACAATTTCAATCTTCACAATTCGATTTTAAATTCATTAAATCAAATTTAAAAAATCTGAAATTTCACCTAATTAATTCTATAATTATTATAAATATTAAATTGTTCGAATCGTGGATTCGCGTTTTTCCTGAAATTTTATAAATTATTATTATTCTATCATTTTTATGATTAAAAAATGATGACTTTCGATTTATCGAGCATCGACTCGATAATTGATTATGCGTTAATGTAAATTACCTGTTTTTCAATGGGACTCTCGTTCCGGCATCGAAAATCAAAAGAATATTTCCTTTAGTCGTGGGTTTCAGTGATTAGTGTGGGACTGAAGGTTTTTTTTTTACTCCCAAGGACTGACTCAATAAATTAATAATATCCCTAACTATTATTTTTAATCAAGAAAATTAATTATCTCTCAAAATAATTTTTCTTCAACAACTAAGAGGAACAGATATTTTTTATTAAACAAACCATTAAAAATTCATTTGATAATTTCTGGATTATCTAGTTCTGAATTATTATAAATAAATAATCTTTCTGTAATTATTTAAAAAGGATAATTCACGCCAATTAATTAACAAATAAATGTAGTCCATAGAAAAAGGACTGACTCAATAAATTAATAATAATCCCTAACTATTATTTTTAATCAAGAAAATTAATCGTCTCTCGAAATAATTTTTTTTCAACAACCGAATTGAAACAATTGAAATGAAATATTAAAAATTCAGTTGATAATTCCTGGATTATCTATTTCTGAACTATTATCAATAAATAATCTTTTTGTTATTATTTAAAAAGGATAATTGACTCCAATTAATTACCAAATAAATGTAGATTATCTATTTCTGCTCGAAATACTTCCGGCGCCTCGAGTGGCTTCTGCCAAAAAAATCCCCGATATCCCGCCCCCGCGAATTCCAATCAAATCAATTGTATAAATAATAATATATCGAGATATCTCTATAACACCGAATGCCCACGTACTCTTACGAAAACCATTGCGTTATGGAATGGCAATGAGACACCAGAGGTTTAAAAACTCTGACATATTTTCAAGACACTCACGCATTCACCAGATATTAATCACCTTTAATTTCAATTATTTAAATAATTGCCTGATTTTCAAAATCAGAATCAACATTAATTCCCCAATCATCAACGATTAAATCTACCATACCCTTAATTATTATTATAATTATTTATAATTAACAAACCAAATAATTGGATTTATTGTTCGAAAATCCCCAGATTTATTTAAGCGCGAAAATTCTTTTTTTTTGAAAAATCTCTGACATATTTTCAAGACACTCACGCATTCACCAGATATTAATCACCTTTAATTTCAATTATTTAAATAATTGCCTGATTTTCAACATCAGAATCAAAAATTATTCCCCAATCATCAACAATTAAATCTACCATACCCTTTATTATTATCATAATTATTTATAATTAACAACCCAAATAATTGAATTTATTGTTCAAAAATCCCCAGATTTATTTATGCGCGAAATTTCTTTTTTTTTTTGAAAAAACTGACGTATTTAATTTTAATTTT